GCGCGTACTTCCGATCACTCCTGGTGGAGGTTGCTTAAAGGCAACCTACTCGCCACACGGACTGCTTGAACGCCAGGCAGGCGTTCGGGGTCCCTACGAAGGTGGGTTTAAAATCTAAGGGCGTCTGCTTAACCTGCTCCTGGATCGCCAGGCACAGGTGCGTCACCTCAGGAGGCAGACGGTCTTCCGACTGCTTTCCGCGGAAGTACTGAGCAGTGGCGTAACTCTTTCCCACGACCATCTGTGCTCTTCACAAGCGTTTTTGTTGGGCCGGAGCGCGGTCGTGCGCCGGCAACTTTATCTGGAACATTGTAATTTTTTTTAAAAATGAGCTGTCCTTTTTCTTTTTCCTCTCCACCATGAGAGAAGGAAAGAAGAAAAACAACCGAGGAATCTAGCTTTAGAAGGCAGCAGGCGAGACAAGGGCTGTATGAATAGGGCGAAAAACAGGATTTTTAAAGAAGAAATCCGAAGTTTAAAAAAAAATCAGAGAATTTCCCCTGGTCCAGGTGCTCAGTTATAACCCCCGTAGAGAGAGAGAGAAAAAAAGCGAGAGGGAAAGAAGAAAAATAACCCAGGAAGGCAGCAGGCGAGACAAGGGGGCTGTATGAATAGGGCGAAAAACAGGATTTTTAAAGAAGAAATCCGAAGTTTAAAAAAAAATCAGAGAATTTCCCCTGGTCCAGGTGCTCAGTTATAAGATCAATAAGGAGCAGGATCCTGCCCCTTTTGCGCCTCCTGGATTTCACGGCAATGTCTGGGGCTCCACTCTGCCCCTCCTCTCCTTTCAGGCCACAGATGCGGGGGGGGGGCTGCTGTGATGCGGCTGGATTCGTCCCTCCAAAACAAACAAACAAGCAATCAAGGATAAATAAACAACTTGCTTTTCCAGCAAATTGTCGCGGCTGAGGATTCGCGGGTTTCTGTATGGGGGGTAAGCAGGGTTCCCCCCCCTCCTTTCGCCCTCAACACAAACACAGAGGGGACAAATCAGGCGCCCTAAACTCCGCCGCGTTTCCCCTTTTTCTTAAAAAGAGTCCTTAGAAACGGCGAGGCAAGAATTTGGCAACCAGAG